GAAGTGGGCCATTTATAAGCCGAGGAAAGATCCCTGGAAGAGTTTCTTCCCTCTTACTACTCAGAGGAATCAACCCAGCTGGTGCTTTGATTTGGACTTCCAGCCTGCCAAAACGTGTACAATAAATTTCTGCTGTTTATGCTGCCAGGTTTTTGTTACTTTGTCAGAATAGCCCTAGCAAACTACTAGAGATTCTGTTGCCAAGCAGTGGCATGATGTGATAAAGAACATCCGAAAGATTGGAAGAGGCCTTGGAACTAGGTAATGCATACAGGCTGGAAGCGTTTTGACGTGCATGACACAAGAAGCTTAGAGTGCCTTTAGGAAACGGCAGGGGGAAATATGAACACCAAATGCAACTGAAACGAGGGCTAAGAAAGAATTCTTTGTTGTAGAGAAAGGATCTCAGACTTAGAGAATACATATATCATGATCGCCAAAATGTGTGTTAAAGGTGCTTGTGGTGTGTTTTCAGACAGAGACTAGGAAGAGGTTATTGGAAGCATAAGGAAAGGCGATCCTAGTTTTACAGTGGTAAAGGTTTGGGCTGTATTGTGTTCTGAGTGTCTCTGAGGAAAGTAGAAATTGTAAGTGATGAACTTGCACATGTAGCTGATTTCTAGTTTTGGAGCTCCGGGTACAATACCTCAAAATGAGGGCTTCAAAAGTAGTTTCATGTGAAAAACATCCTCTCTGTCGTTCTTGGTCCTCCTGTCTCTCAGTCCCATTCAGCTGCGGGGGCTAAACATAGAGACCAGAATCCCTCTTCCCGAAGGTTCTGAGAAACCCAAAGCTCTTTTTTCTAACTTTGTAATATTTTCGCATTTTCACGTAAAAACTGTCCATAAAGATATGATCTAATCTACCTTGTTCGAATGGAAGTCACAAGACCCCCATTCCAGAGAGGATCCTGCCCCATATCTGGGGGTAATGACTATGCTCAGATAAGTCAAGCAGAGTCTAGAAGGTCAGGCCTTGCAGGTTTCCCCCACTCCATCTATTAGCATGAGATCATAGCCTTTTTGTCCCATTATATTTCTACACAACTGTCCATAATCCTCTGAGCCCGGGCATAAAAATAGATAATTTCCCATATATATTCCGCTATTAACACTAAAGGCTCCGGGGGATATGCTTCGAATAAGCTGGTTTGCCTTATGTCCTATGGATCTGCCTTTTGTGACTTGAGTTTTCAGCGAAACTTAGGAGGACCAGGGGGTGTCTTGGCCAATATACTGACAAACTGAGAAAAGTGTTTAGGATTTAATTTTTAATGTCCTACATGCGTATAGTAAATAGGACAGAAGAGGGAGAAATTAGCCAAGGAAGCGCGGAGGAAAAGGGAGTCAGCATTGGATGATTCAGAAGGTACTTAAAGTATGCAGATATCTGGTCCTGGAAACAGATGCGAGGGTGTGCCTGGAAAACCATTAGCCTGAGAGGAGAGGCATGTGTCTCACGAATCCAATCAACCATCTCTGCAGAAGTTAGGAATTGAGATATGGGAGATATGGATATTCAAGGAAGATCTGTAGACAACTTCTTGTCTGATGGCCTGAACTCATGTGAATTCCATGGGAAACCAACAATTTTTGAGAGTTTTATACCAGAAAAACGTTGCCAGACTGGACTGAACAGGGACAAAGATGGGACAAAATGAAAGGAGGCTGTTAGAGTTCCTTGATTGTACCAGCAAGAAAGGGACTGACTGAGGTACCCAGCTGTGACCATGTCTTCATTTTGGAGACAGGGAAGAAGGACTCCAAAGGTGGGTCAGAGGTTGGCATGGCCGTCACTTCCCACAAGAACCAGGGGCATGTTACTAGGGGACTGGGACATCTCTCTCTTGGTCCCAGAAACAGAGGTCACCTCCTGAGTTCCAGGCATTTGTCCCACCTCCTCGGTTTCAGAGGGATGGATGGACTGCAACAGCCCAGGCTGGAGGGAGTGCCCCCACCCCGCTGCCCAGGGCTTAGGGTGTGAAGCTGTTACCCCATTGGGCCTCAAGGACAGAGCATTGAGCCCAAGCAGAATCTTTTCCATCCTTAGAAGATAATGGAATTTGTCCCCACTAGGTTTCCATGGTGCGTAGGGTCCATGAACTTCAGTAGTTTTTCGGATTTCTTGTTTTTGGTATGATAAGCCCTATCCAGTACCAGTTCCACAACTGTCTTTCAGAAGCAGATATCTTGTCTAGCTCCACAGGTGCAGTGGTGGAGAGAATTCCTGCCTCAGCATGAGTCATACCTGGAGACCCACTCATTCCAGATATAGAAGATTATCAAGTGAGATATTGGAGAATTGACGTTGGAGTGAGTTAAGTCTTTGGGGGATATTGTGATGGAATGAATGTATTTTCTATGTGAGGACATTTGTGCTGCTGAGTGGATGCAGAAGATATACTAGTATGGATGGGGTTGTGTCTCCCTAAAATTCACAGGCAGAAGTCCTGGCTCCCAGTATTTTAGAATGTGACCTTATTTGGAGAGAGTCTCTACACAGTTCATCTGGTTACAGTGACGTTATGAGGGTTTACTCTATCCAACAGGATTGGTCTCCTTACAAAAAGGTGACAATTGGTATCCCGAACTGTGAGATAAAAAATACATAGTGTTTACGTCAGCCAGTCTCTGGAATGTTTTTCAGCAGCCCTAGAAAACTAACAGATTACACCTCCATCAACAGTATTAAAAGCATACAACCCATCAAAGAACCAAAGAAGTACACCCATCTAATCACAGGTTTCCCCTTCAACTCCCATTGAACATCCCTGGACAACTAACTCGTCCTAGTTCAGACCAGGAAAGTTGATCACAAATTGGGCTGTGGCTCCTTGGCTACAGGTGCCTCACTGGCTGACCAGATCCGAGTAGAGCTTGTGCTGCTCCACTGGACAGCATTCCATCATCCCCATGATGCATAGAGGCCAGTCATGAAGATTTTCTTAAACAAAAGATTCTAACCTGAAGAAGAGCAGAATCAGATAAATGTAAATAAGTAAGATTTCATTATGAGGGAACCTAGAATAGGCATTGTTCCTTAAACTTTTTGAAGAGTAGTTTTCTCTGTGCCATGTTTGGGTACTTGCTTATATTTTCAAATGAACTCCAGCTTACAGGGAAGGCTGATCAAGTGTTTGACTGGACTATCTTTATCCCATTCATGCTATTTTCCCTACATTGATACTTCTTGTTTGTTGTTTGGGCAGTTAAGCTCTTTCCCATAGTTTGTGTTTCCTTAAGTCAGAGCATGACATCACGATTGCTCACTAGGTTCCCCTTCCGCTCAGTCACCCACAGAAACGATATATCAATATGTTAGCTTTCTCTTCCGATCTTCATATCAATCCACCCCTTTCCTCTTCTTATAATTCACCAGTATCAGTCCCCTTGCCCCATCCCTCTTCACTCCCCACAAGCAAGTCAGATTTCATTGTTGACCCTGTTTTACTAATGGCCTTCTTTGATTTCTGAATTTAAAAAGGGAAAACACATATTCCAGGGTGAAATATCCCAATGGATTTGGTTTCTCAAAAGGACTTGTCTAATTACACACATATGCAAGGGTAACTTCAGAAATTTATTCGTAGATCTTAATTCACAGAAACATTAGCACTTAACAGCAAAACAATTAGCATAATGAGAAATAAGTCACTGAGTGAGATATGGTGTTTTGGACCAGCTACACGGCTCTGTCTCTGCAAAGAAACAGGGTTCTGCCAAGAATCTTTGGTTTGGCAAGTGTTGTTCCGGACTTGTAGGAACATTTGGCGGCACCATCCAGAGGGATTTACTTGCAACTGATTTTGTGGGGTTTTTCTTGGTCTCCTTGTGCAGTAAGCACAGCTTCAACTATTTTCATAACATTTCTCTTCAACTATTTTCGTAAAATTTTTCTAACAATCTGGAAAAACAGAAAGTAACAAATCCCAATGAGGGGACTTCTTGGTTCTACATCCTTTCTCTGTGGATCCCAAGTGGAGCTCTGGAGGTGACCTTCCCCCTTTCCCATCTGCACCACTCAGGGAAGATCTGGCTACTATCCTGCCCTGAACCCATTTCCCTCTTGACCAAGGATTCTTCTTTAAATGGTGGAATAATCTATGTGGCTGTGTTGGGCCCTCTGGGGTAGTTCTTTCCCACTTCTAGTGGGTTCAAGAAAATTTTGATTTTTGTCATTCATCCAGCTTTTGTTTCATGGTTTGACTGAGAGTGCCATCCTTTACTGGTTTCTACATATGAAGGAGAAGGAGTGTTTATGAGATGTTTCAAAGTTCACAGGAAACATTTAACAAAAATGGCCATAGATTGAGTTTCAAGGCACAACATAATAAATTCCTGTGGGTTGCAGTCCCAAAGTATGTTTTCTTGTCCACAACCTCAGGGACTGGAAATCAATTGAAAAGGAAAGCAATGGGAAAGTCAGCACCTGCTCTGAAATTCAGCAATACACTTATAGAAAAAAATGCTAAAAATACCAAGACTTGGGACCCAGAAGAGAGAACAATGAATGGTAGCCTATATTAATATTAACAAGAATGTTAATATGCCAATCTCTTGAGGAAATAAGCATTATCTGACTTCTACTAATGGCTACCAATGCTCTGTATGACTTGATGTTAGGGACAAGGAACATAGATTAATCTTAGCTTTGGATTCATATCCCTAAAAGATCATGATTACAAACACTGCAAACAAAAACATCAGGTAAAGAATCACACTGCCGTTCCTTTAAACACCGGGTTGAATATCACAGGAAGGCTGCTGTGGGTTCAGCTTGGGTCACTCCCCCCACTCTGGGACAATGACTGTTGCCCATAGACTGCAGGTCACTCATTGGCTGTGCCGCTGTACACTAGGGCATGAGCTGTTTCCGTGGACACTCAGTAATCGTACTAACACATACCTGGAAGTAAGGAAGGTTTCTGTCAGAAAGAAATGAAAAAATTATTGTCAGAGCAAACAGAGAATGAATTGTAATAGTGATCTCAGAGTCGGGGAAGCTGAAAAATGAATGGATTCCTGAAAATTTTATTTAGCTATATATACACTGTAACTGGGCCTCGTTTGCTTATTTACATGGATTCATGATAAGGGAGGTGCTGAACACGTTTAGGAGGGTTACCTCTCTTCTTATGTCAGCGTATTCACTTTCTCTGTTGCCATATCGCACATAATGAAGTTCTGGAAAGTTCCACCATACAGTCATGGAGAATGAGAGTGAAAAAGGTAAACATCAGTACCTTGATAATATCACCATAAAGATAATCTAGAAAGATAACTAATAAAAATGGCCATTTAGGAAACTGAGGAAATGAAACCCGATCACGGAAACACCCCCTACTTTTCCTTGGAGCATATCGTACTACAGATATATTGCACTTGACAGAGTTTTGCACTGTGGGAAAAATGCCTGATAAACCACAGGACGCCACATGCCCCCCAAGCCGGCAGGATGCCACCCACCATAACCTCCGGTGGAGTTCCCCCCCTTGGTGGGCCACTGGTCTTTAGCGCCATGCACGGAGGTTCTGAACCAAGCCTTTGGGTTTCCCGGGTGCTCAGGTGCTCCTGAGACAGCGCACTTGCTTTTGGTGTACCTGAGGGCGGCATTCGTGCCCTGGGCCTCAGCGAACTTGCCCATCTTCCCCGGCAGCAGTAGGCGCACGGCCACCTGGATGTCCCGGGAGGTGATGGTCACACGCTTGGCGTAGCGGGCCAGGCGACCAGCCTCGGTGGCGATGCGGTCCAATATGTCATGGACCATAGAGTCCATGACACTCACGGACTCCGGGGAAAGGCTGAGGCCCTGGTGAACCTGCTTCAGCACCTGGGGGAAATAGGCGGCAAAGCTGTCCCCGAAGCTGTCCCTGCGGCGGTTGGCATGGCACCTGCGGGAACCTCGGAGCCCTCGCGTCTTCTTCTGGACGATCGTGGAGTTGGCGTTTTTGGGCTCTTGGATGCTCTGGTCTTCCTCATCGGTCATCTTAGAGGAAGCCTCAGCCATGGCAGAGGCAGCGGCCATTAGATGGCAAGACCTGACAGTGACGGTTGTGGACCAGGGAACGGGGGCACTTTGGTTTGGCTGCGTGGCTCTACGTCACAGTCCAACTCGACATCTGATTGGATGAAGTGTCACCCAGGGAGCCTGTCAACAATCCTCCCTCCATTGAAGGTGATTGGATGATCCTGTTGCTTGGCATCATGTCAGCCAATCACTGAGGGCGTCTGCCGGCCTCAGCAGCCCCTGATACCTACCTCAGACAAAGGAACACAGAGGCTTGCTCTGTCGCCCAAGCTGGAGTGCAGTGGTGCGATCTCAGCTCATTGCAACCTCTGCCTCCTGGTTTCAAGCGATGCTCCCTCTTCAGCCACCCAAGTAGCTTGGACTAGAGGCTTGTGCCACCACACCTGCCTAAGTTTTGTGTGTGTGTGTATATATATATATGTGTGTGTGTGTGTATATGTGTGTGTGTGTGTGTGTGTATATGTATACATGAGGAAACATGATGAAACATATATATATATATATACATATATATACACATATATACATATATATATATATAGTAAAACGTGGTTTCATCATGTTTCCTCAGGCTGGTCTCGAACTCCTGGACTACAGCGATTCTCCTGCCTTGGCCTCCCAAGGTTAAGGGATTACAGGCATGAGCTATTGTGTCTGGTCGAGAAAACTTATTCCAAGAAAATAAAACATGGTGTTGATACCCATTGAAGGATGCACCCTAAAAAAAATCTGAGAATATTTAAAAACGTGGTTACAAAACTCATACCTGAAATATTAATTAAATCATATTACACACACACACACACACAGATAAACAGTTTACTGCTATAAATAACAATTTAGAAGCATCAAACGGGACAAACATTACTAATGGAACAAGCAGATCTCATAGAATCTTTTTTCAATATTACCTCTATTATACAATTCATTTAAATACATAAAAACACACAGTGCAGAAACAACTAAATCAAAAATTCAATGAGAAGCACCCTTTTCAAGCTTCTGAGAAACTGAAATAAGGACTCTAACTCATTCACATTTGTCTAATTCTATTATTTCCCAGTCTACAATCTTTTTTAATGCAAAGCTTAATGTTCTGTGAGTATGCATCACTTACGATGGAAGTGTCCAATGAGAGGACCAAAACCCCACTCTGCACTGGCTCAGCTAATGAAGTCTCTTCAGCCCTGGGCCTGAGCCATTGGCTCAGAATGTGAGCAGGTGACCAGTCCTGAACTCATAAATGACCTCGAGCTGTTCAGCCTTGTAATTTGAAGAGAAAATTAGTTTGAGGTTTGTCTACTTTTTATTTCTTTGTTTGATTTTTCATTTTCTTGTAATTGTGGTGACTTACGGATTTGAATCCAAGGCTGTGAGTAAGCATGTCTACTACCTCTTGCATCATATTGTGAAGGAAAGCTCTCTGAAAAGGAATTTGGAGGAAAGAGACTATTCCTGTGAACAGCTTGCATACCAGGGAGGTGCAGACTTCAGTGTAAAACAAAGGTGCAGTTCCAGAGAACTAAAAAAGGATACAGCTTTTATAGAGAAAATCTCTATAAATGCATGCGGTGTCTCCAATATGGAGGAAAATACATTTCACAAAGTGGAGTGGCCTTTGTTGTTATTGCCACATGGGGCAGTTTGAGCAGACACAGGAGGTTATCTTTGTTTTGGTCAGATTTTTTGCTCTTCACTTTTGTCAAGCCAGGTTTTAAGGCTAGCTGCCACATCATGATGTGCCTATTTACATATTTAACCTTTTTATCAATCGGTTAGAATAAGAAATCTCTAAAATCCTTTTAATATAACACGGAAGGTTAATTTCGAGGATCCATCTATTGGCCATTGACATTTAGAATTTTCAATAGTGGACTGAAGTTCAGTAGTGACTGGAAGCCATACCCTCTTCAGAGAAGAAATAGTTTCAAATATTGCCCCTGTCCCCAGACATAGGTTAAAATAACAAATGACTCATGGGATTGCAGTTTCCCAGTATGTGCTAGCTAGACCAGTGGTCCCCAACCTTTCTGGCACCAGTGAGTGGTCTCAGGGAATACAAATTTTCCACGGAATGGTATTGGGGGGATGGTTTTGGGATGACTCAAGTGCATTACACTTATTGTGCACTTTATTTCTATAATAATTATATTATAATGTTTAATGAAATAATTTTACAACTCACCATAACTGAGAATCAGTGGGAGCCCTGAGCCTGTTTTCCTTCAACTAGACGGTCCCATACAGGAGTGATAAGGGACAGTTACAGATCATAAGACATTAGATTTCCATAAGGAGTGTGTAACCTAAGATCCCTCAGTCCCCATTACATCTATTAGACTCCTGACCCCTCATCTTTCTTCTACTTGAAGGTAGGTGCTTTACTGGGGTACTCAAGTTCAACTGCATTCATTAGGGTGAGCTCTAACCAAAGTAAGTACTATGCATTGTGCATAACAAAAGAGGAAATTCAGACACAGGGACATGCGTCCAGGGAAGAAAATGTGAAGTGGCATAGGGAGAAGTGGGCCATTTACAAACCAAGGAAAGATCACTGGAAGAGATCCTTCTCTCTTACTACTCACAAGGAACCAACCCAGCCGGTGCTTTGATTTGGACTTCCAGCCTGCCTAAATGTAAACCATAAACTTCTGCTTTTTATGCTGCCAGGATTTTGGTACTTTGTCAGAATAGCCCTAGCAAACTACTAGAGATTCTGTTGCCAAGCAGTGGCATGATGCGATAGGGAACATCCAAAAGATTGGAAGAGGCCTTGGAACTAGGTAATGCATACAGGCTGGAAGCGTTTTACATGCATGATACAAGAAGCCTAGAGTGCCTTCAGGAGATGGCAGGGGGAAATATGAACACCAATGCAATTGAAAAGAGGGTTAAGAAAAAATTCTTTGCTGTAGAGAAAAAAACTCTGACTTAGAGAATACACATATCATAATCACCGAAATGTTGCTAGAACTATGTGTTAAAGGCACTTGTGGTGTGTTTTCAGAAGGAGAGGAGGAAGAGGTTATTGGAAGCATGAGGAAAGGCGATCCTAGTTTTACAGTGGAAAAGGTTTGGGCTGTATTGTGTTCTGAGTGTCTTTGAGGAAAGTAGAAATTGTAAGTGATGAACTTGCACATGCTGCTGATTTCTAGTGTTGGAGCTCAGGGCACAATACCCCAAAATGAGGAGTTCATAAGTAGTTTCAAGTGAAAAGGATTTTTCTGATGCTCTTGGTCCTCCTGTCTCTCAGTCCCACTCTACCTTGGAGCCTAAACCTAGAGACCAGAATCTCTCTTGCCGAAGGGGGTCCTAGAAACCAGGGAAGTGGGGGCACTTTGGTATGGCCGCGTGGCTCTATGTCACAGTCCAGCGTGACATCTGATTGGATGAAGCGTCACCCAGGGAGCCTGTCAACAATCCTCCCTCCGTTGAAGGTGGCTGGATGATGCTGTTGCTTGGCATGTCAGCCAATCACAGACGGCGTCTGCAGGCCTAAGTGGCCTCTGTTGCCTACCTCAGACCAAGGAACACAGAGTCTTGGTCTGTCGCCCAGGCTGGAGTGCAGTGGTTTGATCTCAGCTCACTGCAACCTCTGCCTCCTGGTTTCAAGCGATGCACCCTTGAAGCGACACATGTGTGTCTATATATACACACATATATATTTATATATGTATATATACAAATATATACATATTTATATATGTATAATATATAATACATATATAAATTATATATGTATTTTTTATATATATATATATATTGGCTGGTCTACATATATATATATAGGCTGGTCTCGAACTCCTAGACTACAGATTCTCCTGCCTTGGCCTCCCAAGGTTCAGGGATTACAGGCATGAGCTATTGTGCCTGGCCGAGAAAACTTATTCCAAGAAAATAAAACATGATATTGATACCCATTGAAGGATGCACCCTAAAAACAAAATAATCTGAGAACATTTATAAACGTGGTTACAAAACTCATACCTGAAATATTAATTAAATCACATTACACACACACAAAGATAAACAGTTTACTGCTATAAATAATGATTTAGAAGTGTCAAACGGCAAACATTACTAATGGAACAAGCAGACCTCATAGAATCCTTTTTCAACATTACCTCTATTTTACAATTCATTTAAATACATAACAAAATCCACAGTGCAGAAATAGCTAAATCAAAAATTCAATGAACAGCACCCTTTTCAAGCTTCCGAGAAACTGAAGACTCTAACTCATTTGCATTTGTCTAATTCTTTTATTTCCCAGTCTACAATCTTTTTTGATGCAAAGCTTAATGTCTTGTGAGTATGCATCACTTATGATGGTAGTATCCAATGAGAGGACCAAAACCCCACTCTCCACTGGCTCAACTAATGAGGTGTCTTCAGCCCTGGACCTGAGCCATTGGCTCAGAATGTGAGCAGGTGACCAGTCCTGAACCCATTTACAAGCTGTTCAGCCTTGTAATTTGAAGAGAAAATTAGTTTGAGGTTTTTGTCTACTTTTTATTTCTTTGTTTGACTTTTCGTTTTCTTGTAATTGTGGTGACTTAAGGATTTGAATCCAAGGCTGTGAGCAAGCATGTCTCCTACCTCTTGCATCATATTGTGAAGGAAAGTCCTCTGAAAAGGAATTTGGAGGAAAGAGACCATTCCTGTGAACAGCTTGCATACCAGGGAGGTGCAGACTTCAGTGTAAAACAAAGGTGTAGTTCCAGAGAACTAAAAAAGGATACAGTTTTGGGGGGGGGCGGAGCAAGATGGCCGAATGGGAACAGCTCCAGTCTCCAACTCCCAGCTCGAGCGACACAGAAGACCGGTGATTTCTGCATTTTCAACTGAGGTACTGGGTTCATCTCACTGGGGAGTGCCGGACGATTGGTGCTGGTCAGCTGCTGCAGCCCGACCAGCGAGAGCTGAAGCAGGGCGAGGTGTTGCCTCACCTGGGAGGCGCAAGGGGGAAGGGAATCCCTTTTCCTGGCCAGGGGAACTGAGACACACAACACCTGGAGAATCGGGTAACTCCCACCCCAATACTGC